ACACAACATAAATTTGTACTAACTGAAAACACAGTTTAGCTACCATGTTCAAAACAGATATGCAATGTTTTACTTTAGAAGAATACGTGATTAGTTAATGTCATACTTGAAATGATGTTCTAAATAATTGCCATTTGTGTTCAGAAAGTGTGCAGTAAAGGCTATCAACGTCACTTATTACTCATATAATTTTTATTTCTCAGATAAGTTACATGATAATTTGTCAGTTCCGCCAAATATGATGATACTTGTGATGGTTAGAATTGTTTATGGTTGTATACTAGAAGTTTATATAATGTTCAAAAATAGTTTAACGCAGAATTGCCTCAAGCAACATTTACTAAACAGCTACTAAACATCACTGTTCATCAACATTCTTTAGCATTGTAAATCAAATGTTATAAGCTTTTGGAGATGATTTTTGTTTCAAAAATGGAAAATAGACTATCTCTGATTTGATAAATAGTGTATTTCATTTGTTTGAGTTTAGAATTATACAGATAACTACATTAAACTTGACTTAACATTCACCCGGATAGTGAACAATTACTACGTCAAGCTACTACTACTTTCAGTGGTCCCAGTATGATCATGTGGTTATCATTATCGACTTTTACATGTCATCAATCCTCGTATATATCCATCGACCTAACTCGCGTTAGTAAATAACGGAAATAAGTACGTTGGATACGAGAATGAAATTTTGAATACGTATATTTTGTACAATCATTGATTAGAACAGACAATCAGAGAGATGAAGCGGAGGAAACATAAAGGATAGAGCGAAGCCAAACGGATTGGAGAAGACATGTTAGTCGGGTCAATTTAATTAAGCGTTACTCAATATTTATGATCAAATCAAAGCGAGGCAACGCGAAGCGAGTAATTTACAAGGTCAAAATGTGACTCAAGAAGAATGAATAAATTGGCCTGTCAGGAAACTAGAATAATCTATGTGGGCTTGACATAGCAACCGACTCTACATACTTATGGGGATAACAGCTTTATGACAAATACAAACACTAGGGAAATTGACGTGTGACTACAGGAATATTGCTCATAGATGATAAACAGAAATCTAAAATACTCGATAACATGTAACATGTGCCCCATAACTTAACCTACTCTTCAAACATACAATTGAATTCTGTTGTATTGATAAACATAATGATAGATTTCTAAAAATTATGCATAGTTGTAACACATAAATTGAAACCAGATTAAAGAAACATTTATGTTAGAGTATATTGCAAAGAATAATGAATTTAAATTAAATGAAGAATGTTAATCGTTTTAAATAATGTTTAATCTATTTAATCAACTTCCAGTGTCATTTAAGTAATATCTGTATATACCATGGAATATGTTAATGTTTTAAGCTTATTCTTTAGTAGATTTACAAATAATTCCTTATTATTTGATTGGAAAAGTTGATTATTGGCAACAACAAAAAAGATTTATTGTTTCTATTCATAGGATTTCTCCAACTATGAAGTAAATGAGTTCTCATAGTGTTTGCGAAATTTGATACAGAACACAATCAAAAATCTTTAAAAACACATTTGATAAGCATTCCAATCATTTTATAATATTCAATGTCTCTTGGATATTAAGTATTGGAGCATCCGATAAGAATTATTAACTCAGTGTCATTTTAGATAAGTATAAAATTATCAGAAGGGGTTTTGTGGAGATTTTAGTAATTTCAATAGTGGAAATCATGAGTCAATTAAAGCTAGACTACCATGGAAAGCCTTGAAGCACTGGACGGCCATTTCTTCCTAGTATCTTCTCACTAGTGACTGAATTCACGAGGCATTTCCTCGAGTTCTAGTGAGAATCCGTGACCACTGGAGTTCAACCAGGTCTGTTGTGAGATATTAACTCACTGAAGACAATGGTCTACGGTGGCGCAATTTCGTGGATTGGTTGGATGCCGGCTAAAGGTTAAGGGCTCGCGTGCAAGACTGAAAGGTTCTGGGTCCGAATCTCGTGGGGGCCGGGATCGTGGATGCTCACTGATGAAGAGTCCCATACTAGGGCGAAACGGCCGTCCAAGGTTTGCAGGTTTTCCATGGTGGTCTCGCTTCAATTGACTCATGATTTCAACTATTAAAAGTATAAAATTATCAGCAGTTGAAATGTTAAATCCAATCACATTTTAACTAAGAACTTCAGTATTCAACATCATTATTGTATTAGCTATATTTAAATGCAACTAAAATTAATTAATATACTAGTTGAGTATTGGTATATTATGTGTGCTGAATTCGTTCTTTAAAATTAGAAAGTCATGAACATTGAAAATAAGCCTGCCAACCTTATCATTATTTTAAAATTCCTCGTTTAATATCAACTTGTTCTTGATTATTTATAGAACCATTAAATAAGCTCATTGGCATGCAAATTTCGAATCATATTTGTATAATATATTTTATATTCAGTCATACGACGACAGTGTAGGCCATTTTAATTTTCTAGACATATTCATGAAGTGTTTTTGGAATTTGTGGAGATTGTACTATTTTCGGGACTCGGTTCCATGACATTCGGTGTCTACTTAACAAAGCTGTCAATTTAGTAAAATGGAGGTAATGTTGTGTAGGAAACATACGATTTCTCCAAATGTCATTTAATAAACCATCTTCAAGGTTTGATTATTATGGCCACTAGAATAATAGACTTATGATACAATTTATGGAGGGAATCACTACAAACTATATATATATGGCGAAAATTTTAGTACTCTACCTGCTGTATGCAAGTCGGAACTATACTAAACTTAACCCTACAGAGCAAACACTTGTTCCATAACGACACCATACTTTCTGTTAAATAATTAAATAAAGTGGAAAGTCTTATGTCCAAAAAAGGAATTTTTGTCTTATAAGTAGGACTGTAGATTAATGGTTATGAGCAAACACCACATAATTAATTATAATTTGATTTATAGTTGTAAAATAACATTCATGAAATAAAAGAGACAATATTTTATTAAATAGAGCGTGACAATCTTCCTTTTCCCGCGCTATATATATATAGGTACAACAACGAATTTTATATAATCTGGATCTTCAGGAATTTTTTCTCTAATATTTAAAAAACTGCCGCTACTTACAGAAAGTTGAAGTTGTTTGTTAGCTATCAGTGTAATCATGATAATATGTGGTTAAAAAAGAATTTTCCGCCTATTTAGTAATTCACCAAGTCGTTTTCATACTGTCAGTAGCTTAATGTATAGAATCTTTGAAGTAGAATTTTTAGTTAACTATTTGTCAAAATTATAAACTTTACTGTACATATACATAAAATGTCAAAATGATTACCTTTAAATAACCATAAAATGATTAATAAGAATAGTTATCTACGATACGTCTCATGAGCTCCAAACTGTTGATCTGCGTATTTTATATAATTTTTTTTTACCAGCAATACAACTTCATTGAAAGCATATTTTAAATAACAAGAAGTAGACAACATAATACTGAATACTACTGTGTTATCAAATGATTGAAATATGCTTTTCATATTGAATATACAATCTTGTTTTTTTAATTTTCATTCAAATGTAAATCTTTATGGCAACCTAAGAATTTAAAAATAAATAAAGCTATACTTATCATTGAGAGTGTGAAGTTATGGATATCACAACCAATTTAAGCGATTATCAGTATACGGTTATGGAGATTATTAAGTTTTTGATTGAGATCATGAACCGATTGATTTTAGACCACCATTGAAAAATTGGAAGCACAGGACGGTTGTTTCGTTCGATCGAGGGACTCTTCAACAGTGCACATCCACGATCCACGCGAAATTCGAGCCCAGGTCTCACGCGTGAACGATTAACCTCTAGACCACTGAGCCGGCATCCAACGGTGTTAATGTCTAACCCCAATCAATCCAGGAAATCTTGCGACCATCTTCCAATGTACTGAGGTAGGTACCTGTCTCTTCGCGACACGGATTAGCTCACTAATGACTAGCTTCACGAAGGAAGTCTTGGAGGTCGAATGAGAAGCCGTGACTATGTTTAAGTTAGATAATTTACTAGTTTTAATAAGTATGTGAGTTCGGTAGTAATAATGATAATAATTTGATTTTCCTATAATTAATTATAATCATTACATTAACTCACGTGTTATCATTGTTAAGATTCTTCTCTATTATTTAATGGTTTAAAAATAGAAAAGTATATTTGTTTAATACATTAAAGTATTTGTTACATTTCAGTTATTATTTTCTTTACGGTTTTTATTTGTAAAAACAATGAATAGACTTTTCTTCTGAATATCTCATTCAACTGCATTATTGTGATTTAGAAAAAGGGAGGTAAATGAATTTCTTTTATGTAATGTATCAAGTGAAAACTGTGTTTTGAACTCATGACAAGATCTAAATGAAATAGAATTCATTTACTTTATTACGTTCTACTATTTGACTTCTGGATAAATAGTAACGATTCAGTTCAGTATATTCCTTGGATTCTACTAATTATATATATTATTTTTGAGGAAACAAAATAACAGAGCGTTTTATTCGTAGACTCTTTTAAATACTAAATACATACGTCTCCCAAGATAAGTAAAGATGGATAATGGCTAGCAATAGAATCCAGGACACGCGTTTCATCTTATCTGGAGCTCGACACCTGGATGTACCTGCATTTCAGAGTTGATTTCCACCCTGAGACTCGAACCCAGATGCAGGTACATCCAGCTGAAGAGTCCCATATAGGATAAAACGCGCGTCCTGGATTCTACGGCTAGCCAGTATCCATCTTTGCCTAGAGTGCCGGTGAATCAAGGCAATATCGAGACAATACGCACATTTTGTATATATGCCAACGAGAGACTGATCAATTGCAATCCTAAGCATCAGCGGGCAGATTTATGTTCGAATTTTGCATTCCTGCTTAAAGTATTGTTAGTAATCTTGAAATCAAGTCTAATATTTTTCTTTCTTTTTAAAGAAAAATAATAAATTTGATAAAAGAATTCTTAAATTTAAATATGTATATTTAATAACAGAGAGAAATAGACATGTAAAATCACATTTTATATAATTAGTTTAACTGTGTAATATGGTTCAATTTGTCTAAGTTTATGCATAATAGAATATGAACTTGTCTTTCTTTATTAATTCTCGTAATTCACAACAGAAATCGTACGTCCATTATTATATCTCACCATAACATAACATGTATTGAGATATTCGAAACATAATCCAATATAGTCCATTATTACATCATCGTGATATGTAAAAATGATGAAATGGAATATTCCACTGAATAACCATTAAGAATATTTCATATTCAAACTTGTGATGTACGAATTGATGTCGCAGTCGTTCTAATCTTCTTGTCTTTTTTAATGTATTCACGACAATAAGGGAAACATGAAAATGCTGAATAAAATCCTTTACGAAACCTGTTTTGTTTTAGTTTATTAGTATCATGGTAGAAAATAGTTGAGATTCAATTTTGAGCAGTTGATAATTGTCAGTTTTATAATGAAAAATAGAAAAAAAACACAAAACCATATTATTAGCAAGCATAAATCCTTGAAAAAAATAACATTAGAGGAATGAATATAACTATAACAATTAGAGCTATATGGATTAAGTGGATAATGGAATGGATGTTACAAGTGAAAAACATTGAGTTCGAGTCCTAAAGTGTTTGTATATCCAACTGAAAAATCCCAAATGAGATGATACTCACATTTTAAAATTTGCCGCCGGCTACTATCAAAATTTTGCCTAAAAAAGCTTGTGACTTAGCATTACAATCTAATCAATCTATCTAGGACAAAAATATGTCAAAAAATACCCTCAAGCATCAGTTTTTACCACCAATAACGCTAAAGCCATACAAAAAACTCAAATAAGTAAACAATGTTATATTATTTGCATTCTGTTATCATTTCTAATTATTAATTATCGTGATAATCTATGTAATATATCCATCGAGGAAATGCAAATTTTTAAAAATCAATTATTTTGGAACTTTCTAATTTTACATTCATTTCTGAACATATTCCTTTAGTAACTTTTTCTGTAAAAACAGTTTATTTATCAAACTACGGTAAATTTATGTAAGTTTAGTAATTTTCCAAACATTGAGATTTAATAGTTGAGATCATGAGCCAATTGAAGCTAGACCATCATAAAATACTTGGAAGCGCTGGATGGCCATTTCTTCCTATTGTTGGAGTCCTCAACAGTGCTCAACCACGATTCCTCACGCAGGATCCGAACCCGGAGCCCATTGGTCTTACGCGCTAACTCCTAAGCTCCAGATCACTGGACATTTGTAAATAAAATGAATGATCTTTCATATTTGTAACATAATGTATAATCGAATCTAAGCTTATTAAATTTACTATAAGTTAGATAAGTGTCTATTTCATTCCCGTAGTTGCTATATGAAATATTCATGTATATTTTCAGCACACAACTATTAGTTCTGTCAAATTTATTGAATTCATGGTACAAGAGATTACGTTTTATTGTTCATCCGCATGGAAAATTAATTTGTATATTAGAGTGTAAAACGTATTTGAATACTCGCATGGAATATCAATTGAATACTTTTTAAATTGAGTTTCATTTTCTAAAACAATTAATGATTTCACGAAAATAACTTTAAAATCATTAACTATGTAGCGGTTATTATATTAAACATTGAAGTGTCTTATACGTAGCTCGTAACTGTACGTACAAATTATATTTTGATAAGAAACCAGAACTGAATGGTAGATTTTTGCATTAGGGAGTGTTATCTATGACTGTAAAATACCGTTTATAAAAATAAAGAGTTGGCAATACATTGTGAAATGTACTATTGTTTACTGACTGATTGATCAGTTCATTAGTTTTAGCAAAAATTGTTTAGCGTTTTAGCGTTTTTTTAGCGAGTTAGTTTTCCACCGAATGGGATCATTAACCCCATGCCCAACTCTCCTCCTTTATTCGGGCTTGGGGCCGGCAGCATCCCTAAAGGGGCTAGTTTGTATTATATTCTCATGGTTAGTGAAAAATAATTTATAAATGAGAAGTATCTAAATTAAATGTTTAAATAAAACAAATAAGAAAAATAAATATTTGAATTCATGAGTCAATTGAAGCTAAAACATCATGGAAAACCTGGAACCATTGGATGACCGTTTCATCATATCTTGGGACTCTTCATCAGTAAGCATCTATGAACCTGCCACGCGAGATTTAAACTCAGGGTCTCGCACGTGAGCGTTTAACCACTGGATCACCGAGTCGGCATACAACAGTGTTAATATCTAACTTCAACCAATCCTCGAAGTTGTGCCACCGTCCCCCATTTTCATCAGTAAATTAATAACTCACATTAGACCCAGTTGAAAGAAAACACCTAAAAATTTAAAAACATGTTAGAAACACTTGGTATTGTTTGGCTTGTATCTTCCCATTGAGTTTTAAGACTACAATTGATCAGTCTGTTATTAGCATATGTGCACAATGTACATATTGTCTCGATATTGCCTTAATTCACAAGCTTTTTTTAAGTAATGATGGATAGTGGCTAGCAGTGGAATCCACGACGCGCGTTTCGTCCTATTTGGGACTCATCAGTTGGGTGTACCTGGGTGGGTAATGCGATGGCGTTTGAAGTGGATGGTACTTAGTTCGAGTCCCAGAGTGAGCATCAACTCTGAGATGCAGATACATCCAGCTGACGAGTCCCAAAGAGGACGAAACGCGTTTCCTGGATTCCACTGCTAGCCACTATCCATCATGTTAGAAACATTTTTAATCTAGAAACCAGTTAAATTTGTGCTAACCTTTTTAAGAAAATATTTGATATATATGCAATATCTTTTTATTACTTGAAATTTATAAACACTTTACATCATATTCATATTTTATTGTCCTTAAAACTATTGTATAGATTTATGTATAGTCCAACAGATTACTTTAATATTTACTCCATATTGTAAAGTTTCTAATTTTGTGAATTCATTTCTAATCGTTAAACTTAATCCCTGGATACCTATTTTGTATATATCAATGAAAATTCTTATATTTAATTTATAAAACAATCTAAAGATGCTTACTTTTATTTATTTCAGTTTAAACCTGTATTATTTTGAAATTTCCCACGTACTGAAAATTCCTTAGAAACCTTATGTAACTAACAATAAATATACAGCAAAGTAGCTAACTATATAATCAGTTATAAAGTATGGATAAGATTTGCTTTGATCCATTAGTGAATATAGATAAATGAATATACGAATGTTATAAAAAATTGTTTCCAAGTATCAAAAAAAAAAGAAAAAAAACTTCAAATACATTTTATTATCTAATTGAAAGAATCATTTCAAAACTAAGAAACATCAACTTTCGTCAATAAGTAATATGTATCTACTTGTGATTTGGAAGATAAAAAAATGTAAACAAAATTGAATAACTAGATATTACCATCTAAATTATTTCCTTTATGAGTCAAAGTCTGCTTCAATAGTCCATTATCGTATGTACAAACTCATTTCTGTAATTACTCAACGAATAAGATTTTCATAAAATAATCAGTTATTATCTTTGGTTACAATGACACATGCCATTGTAACCAACACCAAGGTCAGAATTCTCAGTACAAATGTCAAGATAGTCTTATTGTATAGGGCGGAAACTTGGAGAACTACGAAAGCCATTATCCAGAAGAAGCAAGTGTTTATTAACAGTCATCCACTGAAAATACTTCGAATCCGTTGGTTGGACACTATCAGCAACAACCTTTTATGGAAAAGAACAAATCACATTCCAGTGGAGGAGGAAATCGAGAAGAATAGCTGGAAGTAGATAAGACAACCATCAAGGAAAGCACCCAAATGCATCATAAGGCAAGCCTTCACTTGCAATCCTCAAGGATAAGAAGGAGAGGAAAACCAAAGAACACATTACGTCAAAAAAATGGAAACAGACATGAGAAGAATCAACAACAATTGGACAGAACTAGAACGGAAGGCCCAGGACAGAGTGGGTTGAATAATGCTGGTCGGCGACCTATGCTCCATCAGGCGTAACAGGCGTAAATAAGTAAGTAACAATGACACAAATTGTTTCGAATTGATATCAAAATTCAGACTGATCACAGGAATATAATTGTAATTAGTGAAATACTTTTTAAGTTCAATACAAATATGTAGTATTTGTAAATTGTGATACACTAATGATGATTAATTCAATGTCTATTATTCTACAAGTGAAGTGTATATATATTCTGTTAGTTATATTAATACAAATAAAAATAAAATGTAGATAAGCCATATAAGATGACTGAAATAAGTAAAAGAGATTAATTGATATCCACGTATTGTGTTTAGATGACATAATTATAATCAATGAAAGATACTCATTGTACAATTTTGATAATAAATTCACTCAATAGAGAACTCTTCATTGAAGTAATCTTTCTTATTTCATAGAAAAATGAAGCGATTATAAATTTCATTCAAGTTTCATATCAGAAGATTAAAATAATGTGATTTTATGATAAAGTGAATATTATTAAATGTGTTGGTTACTACTTTTAATTTTTTTGATATTTTTTTACAGAAAAAATGAAGATAATCTCATTATTTTTCATTGTGAAATATATAATTCTACTTTTTTTGAACGTAAAATGAATTATCAGTATGGGGTTGTTGCTGAGGGGTTCTATACTAGGACGAAACGGTCGTCCAGTTCTTACAGGTTTTAAATGGTGGTCTAACGTTAATCAATTCATGATCTCGATTAAAAACCCAATAATATCCACAATCTCATACCGATAATTACCATGTGCTTACTAGTGACTAACGTTGAGAGGGAATTCTCGGAGTTCTAGTGAACAGTCATGATCGGTAGAGCTAATCTGTCTCATGTAAAGACAGGTAGTTGGACAATAACACCATTAGATGCCGGCTCAGTGGAATTAAAATTTTAAAAACGTATTTTAAGCTTAGCAAATTTTTCTTTTAAATATACATCAATGGAGAATAAAACTATAAGTCAGAGCAATGATTTATGAAAAAAAGCACTTACAAATAAAGTAAATTAATTTATCTAACTAGAAATCTTCTGTATTTAGATCAGCTTTCTAAATAATTAGAACACCTATTAAATCTAAATGTATGAGCCGGTTCTCTTAATTGTTATTCACTTAACTTGTAAATAACACACACACATAACTTGTTGATTTTGACTATCATCTACTAAAGAATAGATTTAATAGATTGTATGTTTAATGACAATATAAATTTTAGTAGATTTTAAAATGACCTTTTTTTGTGCCGCTATCGAAATGCAATCACACTGATTACATACCATTGGGTTTTAACAAAAAGAATCATTCATTTTTAATAAAAAAAGCCAAATAGTGAGTTGAGATCTGACTCCACGTAGGTCGTTTTAGATTGCTATTAAAATATATATGTCGCCAATACTCGCATATTATTATAAAATTAAATTGCGTTGGTGAATTACTTAATTAAATAAGTCAAATATAACAATGAACTTTGAATGCGTATATTTCATACAACCGTTGATCTGAACAGACAATCGATCGGAGAAACGAAGCGAAGAAAGCAAAGTGAAATGAGGCGCGGTGGAGGAAGCGTGTGAGCCAATTCAATATAACCAAGCTTGAATCCATATTTATAGTCACACAAAAATAAGTTACAGACATGTGATGAGTAGGTTAAGATGTGCACACACATACGCTTACATAAAAACGAACAGAGTTGATAAGCGAATAATTAACAAGGTCAGAAATATGATTCATGAAAAATGAGTAAATTAGTCTGCCCGAAAACTAGAATAAACTATGAGGTCTCAACATACCAACTGATATTACAGTAAATTCAATGGCATATGCTTTAACTTATTAACAAATGATAATACATTTCTTTTAAATAAACATTTAATCACGTCACAGACTAACGATTGGTAATAAAAACAAGTTTTATGCTTCTGTTTGACATTTGTAAATAAGATAATTATGAATAACATAAACCAGTTATTAGTTAACAGTCTATAACAGAATCTAGTTTGTGATTTTATTAAACCAAACTTTAGGGAAACGTATTTATGATGAAACTTTTAAAAAATCGAGCAAATGAGAATATTCTTGTTGTGTTTAATTATCATTTCTGTTGTTCATATAGAATAGAAGTGGAAATGGGACCAGTCAAAGATATGTGATGTGCTTAGAAGTTAATATAATTATATGGAATACCTTGAATTGTTCAATAATAAATAAGATTTCAATGAATTCAATGTGAAATAAGTTCAATATTTAAAAATTAAAAAAAAATTTAGAAAACTGAATTCACTGGTGGTATTAATTTATAGATAAGATGAAAATGATTAAAACCCATAACGTGATAACTGTTCTCATTAATAATCTTACGATTATTTAAAGTTTCCCTTGGCAATAAGTTTACATTCATCGACTAACATACGTTGTACCTTAGTTATACAACTGATTTTTCAATATCAAATTTCATTCATTTTGTTTTTATTGTTTAAAACAACTAGTAATTTTGTTGTTTTGTTACAGAAAAAAAAAACAGAAAAAAAGTGTGTCAGCATGAAAATAATTGAGACTTTATGCTGAGATAGTGGTTGGGGGTAGTCAAGAGAAAACCCACTATCTTATGTCAACATAGTGCATGCAATGTCAAATCACCTAGACTAGTAGCTGCATTGTAGTTTGGTTGATAAGATTCGATATGCACTAAGAAGGACCTGATATATATGACATTGATTACCACCCAGTGATCAATCATTTGTAGTAACGTTATGCACAAATCGATTCTAGAAAAGACAAGAGAATATTCCGATAGACAAAATTTTGAAATATTTAGTTATAGCATTCACTTATTACTGAGGATATAAATGTACTGTCTTTTTTAATCATCAAATTAAACTTACAAAATAAAGGAAAAAGAACATTTGACAGTCTGTCAGTTGTGATTAATTTTTTTGATCATTCACAAATGTTCATAAACTTATATTTCAATAACAAAACAATCAGATGAATGGTAGAGGGACTGGCATATTTCTAACACTGAATTGTAATTTGAGACTGAACAAAGAAAAAAGAGAAAACTGAAAAACATTGCATGAATTATTATTGAATCTAAAGATCTAAATCATGATAATGAAGAAGTGTCAATTTGATCTAATACCTTGCTTTAGTTACAAGACTACGCATTCGATCATTTCTGTGAGAAATAACCAAATGAATGAAAAAAACTTTAAAAAGCATTATTTACTGAATGTATTGTCTTAACTAAAAGCTTTCATTCACCACATTTACCATTGTTATATCTTTTACTGTTCATCAATTACAGTTAATGAAATATATATTTATTATTTAGTACTATACTACAAATAATCTGATTTTATACAAAGTGATATTTCTTATCTTCAGTTGTATTGTTTTACTTAATATAAATAATACTGTGAGTTCAAAAAAATTGAATATACAGTTCATGACGATTGACTTTTGTGTTCTGATTTGAAATTGATAAATATAAAGAATTTCAAGGAGTTCATCAGATTAAGCAATTACGAATTATTAGAAAAATCAGAAAAAAATAATAAAAACTTGATTATATTAGAGTATTGCTTTGAAAAGACTTATGTTTGGACAGAAATAATCTAAGAATGTTTCATGTATTGATAGTTGAAAGTGAACTTCAGTTCAAATGTTTTTTGAATTCCAATGAGATTATAATTTTTGGACGACATTTTAGCGATTCTGAAATGAGTTTGAGGAAATATGATATCACGTAACATATACCAGTATTCTCATTGTAATTTGGTGAACATTATTCGATTAGCATCAAACAACAGATAGCATGATCAAAGATAATAACAAGCGATAATGACTGTAATAATAAAAAAAAACCAAATCATTTTCTCAAAACAAAAAGTATAATATAATACATTTATTGTATACAGTTAAATATCAGCTTACTTTTTATTCATTAGAACATATATAATTGGATTGTACATTGAATTACTCATTGCTAACCAATAACAACATATAAATATAATTGGTAAACTATGACTACTTTTAATTGTTGGACTTAATTGTAACAGAATGAAAAATAATTGATATGGAAGCCAACAGATTGCAAATATCAACATAACTGCACATAACATTTTCACTGCCTTTAAGAGAAGTGAAACGGGTAAAATATTAAGAAAAAGAAAGATGTTTTAAGAAACTATTTAAAGGAATTTTTAAAAAAAAGAAAATGCTACTGATAAACAAATGAACAAATAAATTGAATTTAGTTTTTACAATAAACTTCATGGATCCTTATTAGTATTAAGACAATATATGTCTTGTTATAGTTTATAATTAGTAAGTTAATTAACACATGATGTGGGCTACAGGATTTTGAGAATCTATACATATAAAACGTACTTGAGCAGCATCACCGATGAGCAAAGTGGATCTGATGCAGACAGAAAGGCAAGGAATGGCGAAATATGAACAGCATCCCTACATTTATTGAACATATGGAAATAAAATCGACTGTCAATCAGTATCAAAGTCAGAATCTTCAATACGAATGTCAAAACAGTTCTACTGTACAGCAGTGTAATTTGGAGAACTACCATTATCGCCATCAAAATGTAGAAGTATTTATAAACAGTTGTTTATTCAAGATACTTAATGTCTGTTAGCCGGATACCATCAGCAACAGCTCTCTGTCCGAGCGGACAAACAAGCTTCCATCTGAAGAGGAAATTAGGACGTGACATTGGACTGTGATAGGACATACATTACGGAAGTCACCAAACTGCATCACAGGGCAGGCCCTTAATCGGAATCCTGAAGGGAAACGGAAGAACAAAAGACCAAAGGACACACTACATCGGAAGTCGGAAACAAACATGAAAAATCAACAGCAACTGGAAAGGATTATGAAAGACAGGGTTGGATGGATAATTTTGATGAGCAGCTTATTCTCCTCCACGAACGGAACATACGTGAGTAAGTAAGTATGTAACATACAGAAACTCTATGAGCTTTTATTATAAATAGTAATTGGGTATGGTATTAACTAGAACTAAAATACTAATATGTTTTGATGACAGAATAATTATTACAATGACAAATTCGCTAAATTTATTTTTGTGAACATCGAGCATACATCACGCATAATTGAAAACATTTTGAGACGATTTCACTGTATGAGATGTGGAGTTTAATGTTTCTTAAACAATTCCTTATTACTAAGCAAGGTAGAATTCATGTTTTGTAGTTTTACTACTGTGTATCAGTTTACCTATCCGAAATTTTCTGATTACAATCATCTAATATATTAATCACTATTTTTGAAACATTACATTACAAAACCTGTGCGGTACTTAGCACTTATTCCATCGAAATTCTGAAACAAGTTTAATCCTATCGACGTTCCTACTGAACGGCTAAAACACAACATTACTTAAGGCAATATTCAAAGAAATAATTATATAATATTGGATTACTTACTCGTCTTTTCGACTGAACATTTTGGGCTTGTGCCCTAGTGACTTCACCAAGTCCTCTATGAAACCATAAATGAATTGATATTGGAATATAAGTTGTGGCAAGTATGATAAGAGGAAGAACATACATTAACACAAAAAGTGTATAATCGTACCTATAAAATAAATATGTTGAGTAAAAACACATTATTCCCATATTTTTTTTAAAAAAGTTCCATGATTAAATTATCATTTCATTATGAAATAAAACATCGTACTGTAATGAACAAAAACACAGATGGGTACAACCAATGTATTCTAATACAGTATCTTGGTAAAATATAAGAACCATACACTGAACACTTTATTTGCTAATTTCCATCATTAATCCTTCATATTCCGTATGATACTTCAACTTCACAATATCCTTATATTGTCTTCAACTTTATCTTCTTAACTTTCTGATTCCAGGTTTTCCACTTCCAACTGGTGTTACATACTACTTATATGTACCACAGTATATATAAATTAAAACTTATAGTTCAATGCTTAAAGTAGGTATCTTTTGTAAATATTTAGTGTTAATGCTTTTAAAAAATGTTTTTTTCCGGCAAGACTATAATTTATGGACGAACTAATCAGGTATAAGATGATAAGTCTTGAATTTGGGCTCCAAATTCATTCATCCATTTGGTTAAATAGAGTTTTGACATTCAAGCTAATGTCAGTTTGTGATGCAAACCATAAATCTAATTCTTAATCCTAACCATTAATTATAAATCATAATCCTTATTCTTCAAAGTGCTTCATAATCCTCATTTAGCTCTGGTAAGTAAATGGACATTCTCGAGGTAATTTTAGCGTCACTCAACGGTTGTCGATAAATTACAATCTCACCGTTTTTATATGAAATTTGATTTTGTAAATGAGTTGAAAATTTATAATGTAATTTAGTGTGCTGACATAAAATTAATTCCTGAACCAAAGTCAACTTGGGTTGTGTAGATAATGGTGGATTGGTTGGAGATAGACATTAACACCGCTGGATACCGGCTAAGTGGTCTGATGATTAAGCGCTCGTGCGCAAAACTAATAGGTTCTGGGGAGGAGTTCCATACTACAACGAAACGGCCGTTCAGTGCTTTTAGGTTTTCCATGGTGGTTTAGCTTTAACTGACTCATGATTTCAACTATTGAAAAGCATTCAACTTTCTTAACTTTTATAGATCATTTTAAAATGATTTGTACTGTCTTTGTATGGTAAGCAAAGAGTGATGGTAGCTAGCAGTGGAATCCGGGACACGCGTTTCATCCAATTTGGGGTTCGTCAGCTGGATCTACCTGCATTTCAGAGTTGAAATTCCTTTCGGGACTCGAAACGCCATTGCGTTATACACTTTACTGATTTCTGATAACCAGTAGCTTGTGCGATGGGGAGAAGTTTACATTCATTTTGTAAAGTGTTTCGTTGAATTTAGTTATGAAGTGTATATGTGTCATAGCCGTGTACCACACATAGTAACTGGTACACTTTAAAGTTACGCGCCATGTTTTTGCACTTTTGTCACATTGTAACTAATGAAGCAAATCGAAACAGGACTTAGGAAATCACCAGTACTACTCTTGCTCATTTCATCCTGTGCTGTACTGTATTGGATAAGCATAAACACACCATTTTTAGTGTGATAGCTGTATGTTCTGTTTAATACAAGTTTTCATGTAAATAACAGATGTTTAATAATGTTTATGACGGCCAGAATATTTGAAATTATTACCAGATAACCAATTTGTTTTCTAAAACAATCAATAACTTACGCTTCAGACCACTCTGATGACCAGTTAAGAATACAATCATTTGAAACATATTGATCAGGTGAGTTAACCGAGATTTGTTTCACCACAACAAGTAAATCTGTACTATTTGCTATATTTTGTAAGTTTGATAAGTTTTTTGGATAAACCGTAGCTACAATTAAACCAGGCAATCCAATTGCAAACGAAATTAACCAAATAGCTACAATCGCACAAATAACTGTCTTCAGTTTTGAACGTGGACGAAGAGGAAACATGATTGCAGTATATCTAGAATGGCAAAACACATATTAGGTTAAAAACAGTTAACAATTTAATCAGTACGTGCAAATTAGACAGTTTTCTTACTTACATACAGAAAAAAACAGTTATTGCTTTGTCCATGAATAAATTTATTTTTCGCATGAAACGTTTGTGAAAAGTGATGAATGTTTCATAGTTTTTATCACGGACTGGTATCATCTAATCATTTGAAACCGGTAAGCACTGTAGAACTGCCTCATCTTAGTACAGGACCCTTCGATAAAGTACATCCAGGACCCAGCCAAGAAATTTCGTTCTCGTGTCGAAAGCTTAACATATATATCACTGGTTCAAAATCAAGTTGTATACATTTCTAACTTCACTCAGTTCACGATACTGATCAACCATCTTACACTGTAGGAGGTGTTTAAATGTTTCACACTCAAAATTTCTGTAACCCACTGATGATGTGTTTCTACAAGAACTCCTGAAAGAACCTCTAGATTCTAGTCACCAGTGAGCATTCAAAGCCGAAGGTTTTGGATTCCATCCTTCATGGTGTAGTTGACGTGCAATATTGGTAAATTTCTAATACCACTGAGCTCGCACCCAGTGGTCTACCTTCAATCAATTCATGGTATTACGCAACCTTCATCTATAGCCTTCGGTGGATAACTACCTCACAGACGACATGGTTGAATTTTAGTTAAGAAAGTGAATGTATCTCTATAAGTTCGAACTTTATTTCTTCACTTAATATAAACGATAGTTCTTTATTTTGAACATATATGTTCAATGTAAATTTTAGTTTGTGAAACAGTTCAGATAACATTTTATTTTCACTGTTGAATTCACGAGTCGATCTAAGCTAGACCACCATTGAAAACGTGAAACTAGTGAATGGTTTAAATCGACTGATGAATTCAACTGTGGAAATACTACATCTTCACAAATTTATTTATAACCAAAGTGATACATATTAATTTTTTATTGTTAATTCAAAGTATATTTTAATCCAGTGTATGGTGTTCGATTGCGCACACACAAAGAGTTAAACAGTGATCTCATCAATTATTCCAAGCGTTCAAGCTAATCTGATAATGAATATCAGTAGTACAATTTTTAAAAGTACATGGTTATTGTTAAAGGTTAAATAATAAACGAAAAATACACTGATATACATTAAAATGAAATATTGATAATAAGTATTTTTATGTTAAATTCAGTTAGTATTGTTTACTTGAATCTTCCCATTAGTGTTTAGGATTGCAATTGATCAGTCTCTTATTGGCATGTGTGCATAATGTGCGTATTGCCTCGGAATTGCCTTAATTCACAAATATTTTAAGCAAAGATGGATAATGGCTAGCGTTAGAATCCAGGACGCGTGTTTTACCCTATCTGGGACTTTTCATTTGAATGTACCTGCATCTGGATTCGAATCTTAGAGTGGATATCAACTCTGAAATGCAGGTACTACCAGCTGACGCGTCCCAAATAGGATGAAAGCGCGTCGTAGATTACACTGCTAGCTATCATCCATCTTTGTTTATATTTTTATGTTGATTTTGAAATTTAAGTTCAGTAATGAACTAAAATATTTTATCAGTTAATACATCGTTGGTTATTCCTTCATAAAAATTTCATAGACTATTTCATTCTCTACTTTTTTTCCACTAAGTATTAGCGTAGTGTTACTGGGAATATCTTATAATGAGGAAAAATCGTTTTACATATTTACACTAAATACGTGTGATTACTAGATGATGACCAGATAATCCTTTTGCTAGAGTGAATTTAGAAAGGTAGGTATCAATGCTAAAGTTGGATTTGACAGTTTTGAATAAATTAAGAATTGGGTAGAAAGTCGATAATAAATATACTTTTTGATATATCACAATAAGTAGAAAAATTGTATCTCTGACGTTTCGTGATTTAATGTAAGCCACTTCTTCACAGTAAATGAATAAGTAGTAATTACTGAATTTGGAAATATAAACCATTATTTATCAAGTTGTTGTTAAACAAATATAATTCTTGCCATGTGATCAAAAGATTCTAAATTTAACTGTCAACAAAGTCATGGATGAGAACTGTTGAAATGCCTACAAGAACAAAATGGATTCTCAATGATGTTTTCTTCATAATCATTGTCTAGCTAAATTCAGTTCACGTTTTAAAGTTTCTACAAAAATTTCATTTCAGTACTATGCACATGTTATTCTTTAAACACTCATGATATATTCAAATAAATAGATTATTAAAATATTTATTTTGGTATTAATTCTCTAAGCTATTACGAATTCTGATTTTTAAAGCTTATTATGTGTTTGGCTGAAAAAGAAAAGGATTTCGCAGTCGGTATTTATCCTCTACTGACTAATTATCATTTATCAACGTTTATCGAATTTACCATTCTCATTTATAAGGATACCTTTGTTAATGTATTGATCAAATCAAACAATTTGAAACTATACATAGCAATTAAAACGATAAATGATCAAATGCTTTTAACGGAATGAGTTCGTTAAGTATATCACAACACCCCTATCTAAATATTTATGTATGATTGATAAGTTAGGAAACCTGGAAAACGAAACACATACCGAGTAATAAAAATTACGTTTGTAATATAAAGTATTATTATGTACATTTTGGGATTTGATCACTCTAAGATTGTGTACTTCTTATTACAGTATATTATACCGTAAAACTAAAGATTATACATACTTGTCAAGAATATTTTTTTACATTTCGTGAACTAGAGGTTAAGCGTTCACACGCGAGACCGATAGGTTGTGCGTTTGAATCACGCGAGGCGGGATTAAAGATACGCATTGATGAGGAGTCTCACAGTAGGATGAAACGGCCGTCCAGTGCTTCCAGGTTTTCTATGGTGGTCTAGCTTCATTTGACTCATTATCTCAAATAGTAAAATTACTATAATATCCACAAAAACCCCCTCTGACAATAGCATAAAAATGGTATATATTACTATCCCATGACTAATTGATTATACTCACATTTAACCGGATAATTAAAGTAATTTCAGTCAGAATAAACATTTCTACATAACTGTCAGAAAAATGATGTAACGTGTTACCTGTAAAAGCTGGATATTTATCTTTTATTTTTATTTTTTAACACATTCTACTTATTGTTTCTTTTCAACTGTTTTAATCAGCTGAATTTTATCACACAGATTGTACTTAAGAAAATAAAATGTAAGTTATTGAATTATAATAAAGATTAGTATTCTATATAATAAATCCTACTTAACTCATTTAGTCTCTAATCATATTTAAACAGATAAATTATAATTAATAATGAATTCATTCAAAAGTAGTCAATTCTCTTTTAATACATAACTCCGGAAATGAAATAAAGTACTTCGAAGTAAAGAAATAATGTTGGACTTAGTTTTTGCAAAAAAAGCTGTGTTCAATTATTTCTACAGAGATTAGGTGATAAAAAAAACAACAGAAGAATACAAAATGAGGAAATCAAAACATAAATCTAACTATGTATGTAATTCCTTTTTTAATGTTTTGTCAAATGTAGCTAACAAAAAAAGTGTATACGTATATATGTTTAACCTCTTTCAATGAATATTATTCTCAATAGATCAGATCATGAGTCAATTGAAACTAGACCACCATGGAAAACCTGAAAACCTTGGACGGTCGTTTTGCCGTAGTATGTGTCTCCCCATCAGTGAGCACCCACGATCCCACCTCCTCGATATTTTAACCCAGGACCTATCAGTTTCTCGCGTGAGCGCTCAACAATCGGACCAGTGAGCCGACATCCAATAGTGTTAATGTTTAACTTCAACCAATACACGAAATTGCGCCACCGTACATCATTATATTCAGTGAGCTGATATCTAACAACAGACCTGCTTGAACTCCAATGGTCACGGATTCTCACTAGAACTTGAGGAAATGCCTCTTGCAGTCAGTCACTAACGAGCTCACTGAAGACAATGATGTACGGTGGCGCAATTTCGTGTATTGGTTGAAGTCAAACATTAACACTATTGGATGTCGGCCCAGTGGTCTAATGGTTGAGCACTCACGCGAGAAACTGATAGGTCCTAGGTTAAAATCTCGAGGGGGCAGGGTCGTGGGTGATCACTGATGAGGAGTCCCATACTACGGCAAAACGGCCGTCCAAGGTTTGCAGGTTTTCCATGGTGGTCTAGCTTCAGTTGACTCATGATTTCAACTATTGAAATTATTAAAATCTCCACAAAACCGTTTCTGACAACAAGAAAACACTGAAATTAACAGTTGATTCAACTCAATAATACCTTCTTTAGTTAGGTTGATTGAAACCTCTAACTATTCAAATACAGTGCATCTAGTAATATTGATTTTTGTTTTTGATATCCATCAGCAACTTTTTCTAAACATAATAAACGAACTTCTGTTAATTCTTCGGAATAAAAATATTCAACTACTCTATTTGAAATAAGTAACGTTAGTAAGACCAACGTTCCGATTGACTTATATCAAGTACTAAGAAAATTATTATTTCTAGGTATAACCGTTGGATATTAATATTTTATGATCAATAAATTAAATAATATTTCTTTTACTTATAAGTTGGAATGTGAGTCTAAATTTATTTGCATAATGCTGTGAACCGGAATAACAATATTTTTCGCCCTCAGAATTTGGGTTACTGCGTTTAATCTTACCGTTCTCTAAGTGACCTGCCTGGCCTGATAGAACCTAAAGGAACATATGTTCCAGCCAATATAGCTCGGTTGGGTCATTACGATAAACAAGCAGACCACCCCGTCAAGTTAGCAGCTACGGGCGGGCTATATTCAATTTTTGCAAATCTAAAATGAAATGTAATGTACACGACATGTATTGGCTATATCGTTAAATGTTTGATATAAGAGTCACTTATAAGCATAATACTTATTTTTAATAATGCAAGAATGTGAATGTATTACATAATTAATTTCCTTAAGGGTAACATCTTTAAGCATTTGAGTCGGATATTTTCCAAATAGGTAT